AATCAGAATCGCATATTATTATTTTAAAGCCTCGATGCGAAAAGTCTCCAATATTATTAGCAAGAGAAAAAAAAAAAAAAAACTTACTCAGTGATGACTCACCCACGTTTAAACTTTGTATAAACCCTAATTTGGTTAGATCCAGGTATACAATAATTCCCAGCTTTATTTATCTGTTGGGAAATTGAGTGTCAAATTGTCTTTTTGTATGTACCTACCCAACTCTCTGTGACAAATACCACTGTTCATGGAGGAATCTGCCTCGAAGGAGTTTAAGAAGGAAAATTATGTGGTGGTATCATCATTCTGAAAAAAGATAAAAAGTGGAATATGTTTAATAGGACCCTATGTGACACTACTAGAAAAAATCTATGCACCTTTCGTGTCTCTAAATTTCTCAACAAAAGATTCATGTATCGTTTTATTGAATTTGTTTTATATGCAGTGTGAAGTCATATCCAGTACTATGTTCGTGTTTGTACAATTTTATTTTAAAGAAATATTCTTTTCTTTTTCGAAAGTTATATTCTCAATCGATAATTAAAAAGGTTATCACTTTTTTAAAAATAAGTTAAATGAAGCATGTTTCCGTAAGTTATCCTTTTAATGTAGTTTCACCTTTTTTTAAAAAATGATTGTATTGTTTGTAAATTTGAAAATCTAATTTATTTCCAAACATAATTTTTTTTTAATTAGTACTTGAGCTTGATCTTATTATTTCATTAACTATTAAAGTCGACTTAATGAAAAAATTTAAAATAATATACACATAACTTTAGATTCAAACTCTATGACCATCATTATTATTTATTTTATGAATCAAACAAAATTGTATTGTTTCATTTGGAAAAAAAAAGTGGTAGATGCACATCCAAGTTACACATACACACTCAAACACCCCAAATTTCTTCATCAAGGCCAAAATAAATTCACAAACAAATAATGTATCTAAACTCCGAATTTTGTCACCAAGGCCTTCTCTAAAAGTAATTCTAGTGACACATTGATAGATTTATGTTTGAGACTTAGTTTAATATCTTTAGCTTATCAAATCTTAATTTGTTATTCTAACTTTTTTACCCGTAAATTATTAATAAAAATTTTATCGTCAAATAATTTTAATATTTCACTTTCAAAATTGATCACAAAATTCACTCACAATCTAATCCAATTTTCATAAGTATACTACCGGTCTATCTTCACTTATGTGCTCCCTCTGATAGACTACTAAACATAAGATCATTTTTTTCCCTTTCTCTCATATATTCATTAAATAACAAAGTGAAAAAAAATCTACAATGATTATAGTTGATTATTGATTTTTTTTACACATATGATGGATATCTTTTCAAGTTTTTGCAATTAGAATACAATGTAGTGATAGCTCTTGTAATGTAGTAAGTTATTTTTGAAGGCCCAAAAGTCTAATTTGGGTGATTTAGTAGCTCAGAACGGGTCGTTTCCAAACTAGAACGAGCCGTTCCAAACTAATAAATTGACCTGTAAATTGTAGTTGAGAACGGGTCGTTTTGGATGGAGAACGGGCCATTCTGGATGAATTCCAGAACGGGCTGTTCTGGTTTCAGAACGGGTTATTCTGCATGTGATTTTTGCACATGATGAAGGGATGCAGAACGGGCCATTCCGAATTCGAATCGGGCCGTTCTAGCCACTCCTGAACTTCTATAAATAGGGGTTGTGAGGTTTAGGAGAAAGTGAAGTTTTTAGAGAGAAGTTTTAGAGAGAAGGACTCCAAGTCTGTGAGCTCCTTTCTTTCCCAAATTTTTCTGTATGATTCTTTTTCTCCTCTAGATCACTAATGTCTTCTGTCTTTTCTTGAAATTCATACTATGAAGCTTGCTTTGGGAGGATTGAAGTTCCGGGGTGAGCTTCGGAAGGGAATTCTATTTCTTTTTAGTTGTTGGCTATTTTGAGCCAATCTTCAGGTGAGGGAAGCTAGAATGTTTGTTGTTTAGGTTGCATGTGAGTTTAGAAACTCAATTGATGCATGAAAGTCAAGGATCCATGGCTGGATCGGAGAATTCGCTCATTTTTCAGGGTTTTGAAAAAAATTGGGTTTTTGGTGATTTTGATGCATCAGATGGGTGCATGTTGATGTTGAATTTATTTTTGAGTTGTATGGAGCCTATGCATTGTGTTGTGCTTGCATGTGGCTGAAGTTGTTGGTTTGGATGAGAGATTTTGAACTCTCTGACTGGGATTAGGCCGGGCGCGCTCAGGCTGCGCAAGGCGTGAACATGTTTATTTGTGATAATTGAAATGATGTTTCAGCATGTTTAAAGTTGAAGTTTTAGATCATGTATGTATGATATATATTGTATGGTGATGTGTCATTCATATGTAAGCTTGGTAATGATATATATGAATGTTTAAATATGATATGACATGTGTATATGTTCATATGTGTAAGATTGTTGATCATGATGGTGGGTAGATCATGTATGATGTAGGATGCATTATTGCATGTGATGTCTTATGGCATGTGTCTAGCTTAGGACTTGAGGAGGGGAAAATATTTTCGAACTGGAAGAGCTCACATAGAGTCTCTTGAGAGTGGTGCTTGGATAGGCCACTGATATATGAGAGTGGTGCTCAGGTAGGCCACCAGATTTAGGAGAGTGGTGCTCAGGTATGCCACTGGGTTAGGTGAGTCTCCTCTAAGTCCTTAGCTAGTGTTAGAGCGGGGTATGAGGTCGAGGGTTATTTCCTTAAGCAAGTACTCGGGAAGGTGCGTGGATCCTTGTGAAGAGTCGGTGGACGAACTCCACAATTGACTTGGTAATGCGTGCCAAGGTCGTGGTAAGCCTATACCCAACTGTGTTATACTTGACGGTGGATCTAGACTTCCAATTGTGTAAGTGACATCATCCGAGTAAACCCGAGTGAGGATTATATCCTGTTTAGCTGTGACCAGCGGGCGCATTGGGCGTAAAAACGGTTGGGGTGGTTTCGGTAGGATGGGATGTCACTTATACTGCTCTGTTGTTAGGGAGATCTCCTAAGTGTATGCGTGACGACGCATTAGATGATTGATATGTATTGATATTTGTCATGAGATGCATTTATTGCATGATTGTTAATATGATGAAGTGTGTGGTGTTTGGCTTCATGATTGGTGGATTGTATTTTATGCATGAGTAGTATTGGAGTGTATGATGTGACTCTATGAATATGATTGATAGTTGGATGATTGTGTAGTATAGATTATTGTTCTATACTTGTATGATTGATTTTTGAACTCTAGCTTATCCTTCTGTTTCCATGTGGATGGACTGCGATGATCATACCTTGTATAGGAGCAGGTCAAGGCTAGCTTGGAGTTGAGATGACCACTGCGAGATGGGGAATTTGATCCTCGTGTTAGAGTTACCATTTTGGGTAACAGTTTTGTCTGTGCTTGATCGGCACTAGGGAATATTATTTTTGGGATGACTGTACATATATGGTGTTCTATTTTATAACCAAAAACTTAGTTATTTTCATTCTTATTTATACATGTATCTATGAGTTATCTAGCTTAATATTTCTCTTAGTTCACTAGTAGTAGTGCGATTCTACTAAGTGTGGAGACCATGGCGGGTCGTTACACCTCTAGAACTTTTACTTTGGTAGTTTAATAAAAATAAATAAAAAAACATTTCTACCGATCAAGCTATTTTTGGTGTTCAATATGACAATGTTGAAATGTAAAATCTTATATAAACTATTCAATTTTTACCACCATACCAATTTAGTATTATCTTATTTTTCACAAATATTATGTGTGAATTTGGTTAAAATAGTCTTGGATAAAAAATTTAAATGAAGTAATTTATTTGTGTGAAAAATTTTAAATTTTTTGAGGTAAAATACCTCGTTTAGATAGAGAATTTATAAAGAATTTAAAATTTAAGCATTTGTAAAATTTCTTAAAATAATAGAATTTCAAATTCTCAAAAAAGTAAATTAAAATTTTTTTAATTTTTTTTTCTTATTTCACTTATATAGTTTATCTTATCGTTATCTCTTCGTTTTTTTTAATTATTGAACATTCAAAAAATATTTTTAAAATTATTAAATATTATTTAATATTATTTCTTAAATTATTAAATATTTAAAAATTAGCTAATATTTATTTTTATACAATTTAAATTAAAAATCTTAACGTATATTTTTTAAATTAATTTTACTATGGTGAAATTAAATTATCATATCCAATCTAACAATTTTAAATTAAAAAATTTGAATTAATTTATCCAAATAAAATATCTTAAAATAATAAAAATTGAAATTAAAGTAATTCAAATATCATGAATTTAAAATTTCTTGAATTTGTAAAAATCTTCATCTAAACACATTATAAAGGTAAATAAAGAAGAGAAGAAATTAGGATTTACACTAGGAAAGTACAATGTTTGTTACAGATTTAAATAGCTCTCACAAATTAATTAGTGAGACATATTCCGTCACAAATTAGCAAGAGATTACGCAATCCTCTCTCGTATGAGATGAATTTAAATTCCTTGCAAATTAATGAGGGATGTATTCTGTCGCAAAGAAAAAAAAAATTCTTAATATATTTGAGCTTAATTACTAATTAGTGAGCATTGACATTCCTAACAATAGAGGTGTTTACGGTCCAACATTCATTCAACACCAATATTGGAGTTTTAAGATCGGTTATAAGGTAACCGATCTTAAAAGTCACGCGGTGGTAATTTTGTAAATAACATGACATGAATATTTTTAAGATCGGTTATAAAATAACCAATCTTAAAAGTACTTTTAAGATCGGTTATAAAATAACCGATCTTAAAAGATATACATTTAAAATCGGTTCAAATACAACCGATTTTAAAAAGTATTTTTAAAATCGATTATATTTTAACTGATTTTAAATCATGTGTTTTTTACTACTTTTAAGATCGGGTATTCAGGAGCCGATTTTGTATATAACATACAAAATCGGTTTCTGGATAACCGATCTTAAATATCCTATAAGCTTGTTGTTGCCCTTTCCTTCATGCGTGCTTAGGGCTTCATTCATCTAGGTGCGGCGAGGGAGTATATGTGACCCTCTTCGCAGACCTCACTAGAGCTTCGTTTTTGTTGATGAAAGCTTATGATGGTATTCTTCTTCCTCCGTCGTCACAACGCAACTACCTCTCTCTATGCCCACACCTCCACCGCCGCCATTCCAACTTTTGACGCCGCCGCCAACTACGGCCTCGGCGTCCGCGTCATCGCTCTCGAGGTCGCCGACGCGGAAGCCGCCGCCTTCAGCGCCAGCGTCGAGCACGGCGCCGAGCTGGCTTCTCCGCCGGTGCTCCTCGACGGCCGCACCGGCTTCGCAAAGGTTCGCCTCTACGGCGACGTGGTCCTGCGCTTCGTCAGCTACAAGGACGCGTCGGACGCCGCGGACTCCAGCCCCTCGCGGTGGTTCCTGCCGAGATTCGAGGCGGCGGCGTCGTTCCCGGAGCCGGACTACGGGATCCGGCGGCTGGACCACGCCGTGGGGAACATGGCGGAGCTGGCGCCGGTGGTGAGGTACCTGAAAGGATTCAGCGGATTTCATGAGTTCGCGGAGTTCACCGCGGAGGACGTGGGAACGAGTGAGAGCGGGTTGAACTCGGTGGTTCTGGCGAACAACTCGGAAACGGTGCTGCTGCCGCTGAACGAGCCGGTTTATGGAACGAAGCGGAAGAGCCAGATTGAGACGTATCTGGAACACAACGAAGGTCCGGGCGTTCAGCATCTTGCGCTTGTTTCTGAAGACATTTTCGGTACTCTTAGGGAGATGAGGAAGCGAAGTTTGATTGGTGGGTTTGAGTTCATGCCTTCTCCTCCTCCCACCTATTACGCCAACCTTCACAAACGTGTCTCTGATGTGTTGACCGCCGACCAGATTAAGGACTGTGAAGAGCTTGGAATTCTCGTTGACAGAGATGACCAGGGCACTCTGCTTCAGATTTTCACCAAGCCTGTTGGGGATAGGTATCTCTTTTTTCGCTTTTCAATATTATGCATATAATTCTATTCAAGCATGACATAACATAATTAAAACGATTAACTCTTTTTTAATTGGTTTAAACGTTTTTAAACTAATACTAGTACCTATGGCTATGGATGTTGATGTGATGGTGTCTTAATATGGAGCAAGATTGAATAGTGAAGTAGATGGCTGACCAAAACAAAGTGCAATTAAGAGTGGTTTGAATGTATTAAATAATTTGTGTTAAATTGGCAGGCCCACCATATTTATAGAGATAATTCAGAGGATTGGGTGCATGGTGGAGGATGAGGAAGGGAAGGTGTACCAGAAGGGTGCTTGTGGGGGTTTTGGGAAAGGCAACTTTTCTGAGCTTTTCAAATCAATTGAAGAATATGAGAAGACTTTGGAAGCTAGAAGACCTGCGTGATCATCTCCTTCTATATATAGTCTCTGCTTTCACCTTATCTCGCCTTGTTAAGCACATTCATACAACATTAATAATCAAAGTACACACTCAAAGGAAAATAATTATCCCTGTTAGACTAGTTGTGGGAGTTGCTTCAGACCTTCCAACAAAGTTTAGTCGTATACTTGGCCACCCTTCATTCACATGCTTTGTGAGGAATTGATGTAACATAGGGTTTTTATAATAGATAATGGAATTAAGAGGATACTCCTCCCTTGTGTGAAACCAAATGGATATTTTTTTAGAGGTGCTTCCGGATAAACTTAAATAGCATAAAACCAAATAAACTTTTTTGGTTTCATGCTATATAACATTATTATTTTTAAGAAAGTTCCATTGAGAAATCTATACACATAGCAACATTAAAATAAAATTTGCCAGTTTTAAGTAGGATACCAAATTCAAGTGTAGTTCTTTGAATGGCATCAAATAACAGTCCTAATTAAACTTTCTAGATGTAGTATTTTTTATGAATCAAAAGTTTTTCTAACAAAACGATTATTGATGGGAAACAGGTAAGTCCCATTCACCGGTTAGTCCCATTCATTTCGATTCAGTTTCTTATTGACTCGTTAAAAAAATTATAAAAAAAAGAGAGATAAAAAAAATTATTAAGCGGTGTAATACTTAGTAAAAATTATACCAGTGTTATTATAACTCTCTCTCTCTCTATATATATATATATATATATGAAAAGGGATTCACTTATACCAAGACTAAGTTTTGGTACTTCTTCCACTTAATAATTTATGTTTTATATCAAATTTTAACAATTCAATCATTAAATTAAAAGTTTTTAATGTATAAATCAAGTTCATAAATTTTTAAAAATTTATGAAAATCATATAATATTTCGTCATATAAATTCAAATCAACACATAAAATATTTGTATAATTATCCATTAATTTGAATTAATGAAAATAAATATTAAATATTTTTAAATTTTTAAAAAATTATAAATTTGATCTATATATTAAAAATTTTTAATTTAATGATTGAAAAGTCAATATTTAATGTAGAATATGAATAATCAAAATAAGTAAATTATATATATATATGTGTGTGTGTGTGAGGAGAAATCTGTTTATTTTATGAGTAAATTTGCTTAGACTTATTTCATTTAATAATTCATGTTTTACGTCAAATTTCAACAATCTAATCATTGAATTTTAAAGTTATTAATACATAGATCAAGTTTGCAAATTTTTAGAAAAATTGAAAATCATGTGATATTTCATTTTAGTAATTCAAATCCACGTATAAAATAATTTTATGATTATTTGTCAATTTGAATTATTGTAATGATGGGATGTATTTGCAAAAGACATTTTGACACCCAAGTAAGTAACTCGCTCGATATAATAAATGCGAATATATTGTGAACAATAACTTGACCTTGATATTTGATATTACTTATATTAACCATGATAGACCCAAATTTCAATAGAGTTCAACTTAAGATTATCAATTAGGTAATATGTTAACAATCTACTTTGTACTTTGATTAAACTTAAATTACCTTAATTATCTTTACACAAAATGAAAAGTTGTCCACCCCATCCAACGACCCAGGTAATCGACAGATGAGGACATTGAATGAGTACAATGTATCAAATGGGTACTCCTAAATAAACAATTGAGACCCCAACGACCAAGCTATCGACAATCAATGGTACTGAATAGGTGTTCCTAGATAAACATGTGAGACCTCATTCGACGACACAAGTAACTGACAATTGATAGCGCTGAATGGGTGTCCATCTAAGGATTTCAAATAGGAGTACCTAGATTCATAAAAGTACCTTGATATTTAAAGTTTTCAAATGTGTGTTATTAGTTGTCAATAGTCAAATGAACTATCCTATTTACATGGAATCACGAAGGTGTTTCGATGTTCGAGACTGTCAAACAAATGTTACTAATTGTCTGAAATCTAATAGATTATTTAGTATATTAAACTTCAATAATTTTCTTTATCCTACTCTAAATTAAAATATGCTTATAACTTGATGATTAAAATCTTTATCTCTTCAATTAAAAAAAAGTTACAAGTTGGATAAAGGTAACAACAAATTGAGAAATGTTAGTAAAAATGAATAAGAAATATTTCAAAATTAACATTTTTTTAATTACTCTTTATTTTGATGAACTATATTTAGAGACAATGTTTTTTCATTGAGAAAAGATTTTTTTTTTTAAAAAAAAAGGAGACTGAAATTATTAGAGTGATCATTTACATCTTATAATAGTTTTATTAAAAGATTTTTTTTGTTATGTTGACCAATTTAATCTCATACCTGTACCTAGTACTTGTATCATACCCATATCATTGCAATGTGTTTAATGAGTTTTATTTACAATCTTTAATAAATTTTAATAATAAAAAAATATTTAAAATAATATGTTAGAGAGACACAGGTCCCAGACAAAAAAGTTCCAAAATTAAAAGTTCCGTTGCCGGGAATTGAACCCGGGTCTCCTGGGTGAAAGCCAGATATCCTAACCGCTGGACGACAACGGAGTCTTATTTAACGCAATCAACAAAATTATAAATATACGTATGACAGCTTGACATTGTAAGTGTTATTTTCATTACATTATTCTCTTTCGCAGTAAATTAAACTTTGTATTTATGCAGATAATTCTACATAGTGACTTATAGGATTTTCACTGATGCAATCCAAAAGAAAGGATTAACTATACTTTGTCATCTTTGATTGCTTTTATTTATAAATTTAATAATATTTTACTCATATTTAACTTTTTTTTATCAGTAATATTTAGCTATTTTAACTCAATCTAAAAATACCAGAAACAATATATATTTTGATCATAGAAGTTATAATGACAACAAGAGTTGAATCTAACATCATTTACAAACTACTCCATATAATATACCACACAATTCATGTCTATTTATTTTCCCTTTTATTCTTCTATGATTTGAATTATGAACATATTATCATAAATATAAATTTTAATCAGACATATTTTTTAATTTATTAAAAATCATTTTTAGTCATAGTGCTGATTGCTAGCACAATAACTCTTAACTAATAAATTTTTTTTTAGAAAGACTGAAGAATGTGAGTTCATTACAATAACTCTTAACTAATATATTTTTATTTTTCAAGGGGTGATTTGCCTTAACTCAATAATAATAATAATAATAATGCGTAAAATTTACACTTTACAGTAGAATTAAAAAAAGTTTCTTATTAAATTATTAAGAATTAGATAATTTCCACGTAAGGAGGTATATTTTCAGCGCGCGGGAATGCATGCATGCAATTAACTTATGATTCGGAGGTGGATATACTAATTAATTTATTGGGTAATGTCAATATCTTAGTGATTGGGACAAGAACCATAAAATACCCTTCTGTTCTCATCATACATGTTTATATTATATGACTTCATTGTTAAAATAATTGTACATTACAAAACTAACCTAACCTTTGTTGATTTATGTAACATCCCGAATTTTCTACTAATAGGCTACTAATTATTATTTATTTTTATATTTATGAAGATTATTATTTTAGTTAATTAAAAGAGGCTTTATAGAATATTTTAAAGGTTTGTAATAATTTAAATTATTTAAAAAAAATTAATTTTGATTTTTTAAGCCCAGAACAGCCTGTTCCAAAAAGCGGAACGGGCCGTTCCCAGAAAGCAGAACGGGCGTTCCAAAAAGCGGAACGATCTGTTCCTAAAAGCGGAACGGGCGCTCCAAAAAGTGGAACGGGCCGTTCCAGATAAACAAAATGGCCTAAAATCCAAAGTTGCAAACGGGCCGTTCTCCTTATGGTCAACCTGTGTAAAAGTGAACTCCAGAACGGGCCGTTTTAATTTGAGAATGGGTCGTTCTGCTTTTTGGAAACGAGCCGTTCTGATTTCAGAATGGGCCGTTCCAGTTGAGAAATTTACGTATATTTGAAGGTTCCGGAACGGACCGTTCCGAAATCAGTACGGACTGTTCCGGGTACGCCAAAATGCCTATGAATAGGAGGCAGGGGGTGAAGAAAAAATTATAACCGAGGGAGAAGGTGAAAATTTTAGAGAGAGAGAGAGAGAAAGAAAGAGAGGGAAAGAAAGAGGGAATCTAGAGGAGGAGGTTCTGCTCAAGTTTTAGTTCCTGCTTATTCAAGTAAGGGGGAGGAGAACCTTATCTCTTTAAAATTTTATCTACTACTATTTTTATTTATTTATGTTATTTTTTATGTGTATTTATTTAGTGGGGTGTCCCTAACCTCATTGATTTACTTAACCTTTGATTATTTTTATCTATATCAATTATTAAAGTGTTCATATTTTATATTGTTTCATTATTTTATAATGATTGTCATTTTTATTTATATTATTGGTACTATTAATATATTCTTTTTACGTAAATATATTTATTGTAAATATATTTATAATCAACTATGATATAGTTTTGTTAAAGTCTCTTTGACTCATATTGTTATTATTTCTTCACGTATTTATGAAGATAAATATTGTTCTATGGCCATAGAAGATAAAGTTTGAATTATTTGTAGCTGGAGATTTGACCTTGAGGATTTAAATGAGTAAAGAATGAAGGTGAAATATCCTATTGTTGGTTAAGGTGAAATATCCTTTTATTGGTTGATATTTTGATGATGCTCATTTATCCTGACTAGTCACTACAAGTATAATTCAAATTTTATTGTATCATGAAAAT